AACAGTTATGTTTTTCTTTTCTAAAAATTATTTTATTTAACTTTGTTTATTCATCTGTTCATTTTCATTTGACCAGAGAAGGACAGAGTGAGAGTGAGAAAGAAAGCAAGCTGCCAGGTCCCAGACTTAAATCACAGTTGACCATGACTGGGGGGTTGTGGGGAATGGCCACACCACAACCCCTTATCCTCCATTCTCCTGGGATTTTGGGGCATGCACACACATGGGCCCAGTGTGAGTTTCAAGCCTCTGGGTCAGGGACATGAACTGCTGTTGGCCATGTGGAAGTCCGGTGCCAGAACAACTACACTTACTGGCCCCAGTTATAAATATTTTTCTGAGATTAAGAGTGCTACATTTATTAGACTCAGATTTTTGTGTATTGCATTACTCGTAAAAGAATGACTTGTCTTTACCTACTCTATAGAGAGAAATATATGATTTCTTTTTTGAGGGAGTGATTTTTGATATAGGGCAATTGCACTCACTGGAAAGAGAGAGCGAGTATCATTCCCCAGGGGAGATAGCTATGCTACAATCCCTTCTCCATTCTCTTCTTGGGATTTTGGGTACGCGCACATGTACCTGGAATGAGTTTAAGCTTCTGGGTCCAGGACTCGAACTGCAGCCAACTACGTGGGAGTCAGCAATGTAACCATTATACCATGTACTGGTCCCAAGTTACAATTCTTTAAAAAGCCAAATTTGTATTTGTCAATATTAGGCAATTAAGCAAGAACATTTATCTGAATGTTGTCAGCATAAACTTGTACAAATAAAAAAAAATAGACTGCACATTCACTACCTCTTGGTTTCCTAAATTCTGTTACTGGAGTTTTTTCATATTGTCTTTTTTTTCTTTCTTTCTTTCTTTTTTTTTTTTTATTTAGATTTTTGCCATAGGACACATGGGATACCAGAGACAGAGGGAAAGTTTGAAATCAGCTCTTAGGCAGGATGACCACACTGCAGTCCCTTCTCATCCATTCTCCTGGAATGTGGGCATGTGAGCACGTTTCCAACATTTTTTCAAGCCACTAGGTCCAGGACTAGAACTATATAATTGGCCAAGTGGGATCCAGCGCCTTAACCACCACACCACCTGCTAGTCCAATGTTGCCCTTTTTTAAAATCTTACTTATTATTTCCTGAGAGAGACAGAGACTGAGCAGGATGTTCATGCTGCTAGCCTCCCCAAGCCTTGTAGCCATGCATGATCATGGCACCATGTGTGTACCCTGTGATGTAGAGAACCCCAAGCTTTCCTATATGGTCTCCAGCAGCATGCAGCACTGCCAATATTTCTTGTGTCACCATAGCTGGACTCTCGTGTTGCTTTTAAATTCTATTATAAAATCTGAGACTATTTCTAAATCATTTATTAGTCTCTGTATTTCTTTTCTTAAATGTACTTTTACCATGGATGAAAACACCAAACAACTTTTGAAATTCTCCTGCCTCTCTACCTGCCAAAATCTGGCCTTCCTAGCAATTTTACTGAATTCAAAGACTGCATTAAAATTGGCTCAGAAGCCCAGTCTCCAGAACCATTGAAAATTATTCTGTGCAGACCACAATACAGATATTGTGTGTGTGTGTGTGTGTGTGCGCACGCACATGCATGTGCATGTTTTAATTAACAGAGAAAGGAAAGCACCCCCCATGGGATCTGATCAGCTGCAATTCTTTTTTTAAATTGGCCAGAGGGCTTGTGTGTGCTTGCCAGAGAAACAGAGATAGAGGGAGAAAGCACCCCACCGAACAGTGTGTAGCCACGCTGCAATCCCTTCTCCATTTCTCTACCCTCTCAGAACTTTGGACACTCCACACATGTTCCCGATGTGTTTTCAAGCCCCTGGGGCCAGATCTTAACCACAGCTGGCCATGTGGGATCAGCTCCCAATGCGCAGCCCTTTAACTGGCATGTTATGGGGCTGGCCCCAAGTTGTGTTTTTTGATGCCTTCAGAATATTTAGCACCAAAAATTTAGATTTTTTAAGTACTCATAATAGCATAACTCCAAGTAGGTTTCTTTTTTTTTCCACATTATTTATTATTATTTTTTTGTATATACTTTCAATCATATTGTTTGGCTTATCATGAGACCATTTCAATATGTGCACATTTCTCCCCAGACCCGTTGATCAAAATGTCTTTAACAGATAACGCCACACCTCCCCATCCCGTCAATGCTCTACCTCTGTATCCCTTCTCCAAATGTCCTTCGTTTGGCCCCCCTCCTCCACATACACCTCGTCTGACATTCACACCCATCTCTTGTGTTTGTTCAACCGTTAGTCAATCAGTTTCAGTCATAGAATGCAGACATACAGTATATGTTAAGTGGGGACATACAATGTCTCTCCTTCATAGCCTGGCTTGCCTCACTCAGCAGTACATCTTCCATATTCTTCCACTTTCT